CTGGGGCGCGGGTGCAGGTCCAGCGGCCGTCGCTGGTGAAGCTGTACCAGGAGAAGGCGGGGGGCGTGGGCCGGCTGGAGCAGAACATCGCCAGGTACAAGGTGAAGATCCGCGGCCTGAAGTGGTACTCCAGCTTCATGGGCTACGTCATCGATGCCGCCCTCAACAACGCGTGGCAGCTGCACAGGATCTGCTGCCCGGACGCGCGCGTGGACCTGCTGGCCTTCCGCAGGTACGTGGCCTGCGTGTACCTGGAGAGCAACGCCGACACGTCCTCGCAGGGCCGGCGGGGCCGGCGGCTGGAGACCGAGAGCCGCTTCGACATGACTGGGCACTGGATCATCCACCAGGACAAGAGGACCCGATGCGCCCTCTGCCACTCGCAGACCAACACGCGCTGTGAGAAGTGCCAGAAGGGCGTCCACGCCAAGTGCTTCCGGAAGTACCACACGCGGTGAGGCCAGGGCAGCCCAGGCCTCGGCTACCTTTGTATCAAAGAAAGGCCTGGCTCTGTCGATTTGCTTTTGTCCTTTCTCCCCAGTCGCATTCTAATGGTCTGTTTTATTGTCCGCTGTTGTGCCTGCCTGTAGTATAGATTAGTATTTATGTTATGTTTGCAGATCTGTATTTTATGCTGGGATTTAGTTAAACTTATTCAAATAAAATCTTGCCTTGGGATATATTTGAGTTCTAGTAAGGATATCAAAGAAATATTTAGATAAACAGTAAAAAGATTTTACCACTGTGTGCCATGCTTTATAACCTGCGGTTTAGGCAGTAGTGCATTAAATATTTTGGCCATACAACAAAGGATTTCTTAGTGATATTCAACTCATATTAGACTATCAGACTCGCCATGTATTGATAGTCCACCTTGTATTTGTTCAAAGAGCCGAAGTTGTGGAGTTCGTATTTTTTTTGATAAAAACATTTTCCTAATTACATATATCCATATGGAATCTACTTTTATAAATATGTGGTAGGGATCCACTTTTTCACCACATAATTTGTTAAAAGAGAACTACTTCTTTACTGATTTCAATTCCACCTATAAAATTTTTTGAACTTAAAGGGGACATACTGAAATAAGGAAACAGTTTTATGTTGGAAAAGTTGGTTTGTTTGGTCCCAGCAATCTATGAGGCAGGAAGATCACAAGTTCAAGCTCAACCTGGGCAACTTAGTGACTTAGCAGGACCCTGTCTCAAAATGAAAAATGAAAAGGGGGGATGTTGCTCGGTGTGAAGGTTTCAAATATGAGAAAACAGACAAACCCAGATTGGGCGCTGTCCACCCAACAGCTGGCTCACAGCCTGGGGAAGGATCGAGGCCGTGAAAGGCAGAGAGGAGACCTGCCTAAGGTTGGATGGACGAGGAGATGGCGCAGGATGTCGTGTAGCTCCTGATCCACCAGACTGTTTTCAAAAAATGACAGTGAGGGCCAGGGATTTAGCTCGGTGGTTCTGCCGCCTGCTTTGCCAGCACGAGGTCCCGAGTTTGATCCCTGGTACCAAAAAAAAAGACAGTGAGACAACTGATAAGATTTGCATAAATTCAGTGGATTAATTTGCAGTATTTTATGAATATTACTTTTCTGCTTTGATGCTTGTTAGTGACCGACTCCTTGTCTCCTTACCTATCTTATTTCTTCTAATTTTACTTAATCCCCCTCCCTGCCCCCACATTTTGATCTCATTTTTCTTTTTCTTTTTGTACCGGGGATTGAACTCCAGACATTGCGGGTGGCACCACTGAGCTGAATCCCTGGCCCCTTGATCTCACTTTAAGGGATGCAAAGGAGCTGAAGGTACAACCTTTTTAAGCCTGCTTCAGGTAGGGGGTGGCGCTGACCCAGCCTCGCCAGGGAACGGGTCTCAGACTGACTTAAAGGAGGCAGGGAAGATGGGTCTTGTTGTTTGGTGAACGCTCATCCTTTCACAGCCGAAGTTGACACCTTGGTGCCTCGTTTGCTTCCTGGCTGGCCTGCCAGAGGGGCTGTCACAGATGGGTCTGAGGAGGGTCCTGAGGGGCTGGGGAACCTGAACTCCTTCATGGGGAAGATTGTAGGGTCGTCAACTTTGGCCACAGAAAGAGCTTTTAGGATGCCTCAGTGAGAGGCATAAAGAGGTTTATGAGGCAGAACTGAAAGCACACACTCAGAGGCCTCAGGAGAGAGGCATTTAATTTTTTCTTTTGGAGGAGACTCCAGTCTGTTTTCTGTAGTAGTTGCTCCATTTCCATTCCCATCAGTGGTACACAGGCCACTAGTTTTCTCACATCCTCAGCAGCATTTGCTTTTTGTTCTTTAGAAGTGGCTTTCCTAGTAAGTGTGAAGTGACAGTTTATTGTAGTTCTGACTTGAATTTTCCTGGTGAAGAGTGTCTTTTCCCAAGCTCACTGGACATTTGTACCTCTTCAGAGAAGGGTCTACTTGGTTATTTGCTTGTTTCAATCAATTTATTACTGAATTGTAGTTCTTTATATGTCCCACTATTAACTTCTTAACAGCTACATGATTTGCAAATATTTTCCTCCACTCTGTAGATTGCCTTTCCGCTGTATTCATTGGTTCTGTTGCTGGGTGGACATTTTAAAGTTTTGTGTAGTCCTATTTGTCTGTTTTTGCTTTTGTTACCTGTTCTGTTTGGGTTATATCCAAAATAAACCATTGCCAAATTCATTAACACCAATACTTTTCTCTGTTTTCCTCTAGGAATTTTTGAGTCTTATATTTAGGGCTTCAGTTTGTTCCGAGTCAGTTTTTATATGTGGTATACGGGAAAGGTCCTTCTGAATGGAGACACAGTTTTCCCGACACCAGTGGTACTCTTGTCTCCTCCTGGGGCCTGTTTTGGATGAGGTATCTGGTCATCAGAACCCTTGGCCCTCATCTGGACCCTGGCCTATGTTTTTGCACAGTGCACAACACAGTGTCAAGGCACAGAAACACATTTTCTGTTCAGCTGGACAGGGAAGTGGGATGAGATAAGAACGTGGCTGCAGTGCTGAAGAGTTTGGATCTTTCCGCAAGCAAGAGAGCCCAGAAGCTTTTTTTCTAATGAGATGAAGACATGCTCAGAGAGCCTTCAGCTGGGTAGAGACCGGCGGTCTTTCCAAGAGTGCTCCCTCTGCCCTGAACCACGGCTGCCTTGATTAATTTAGCAATGACCTCTAACCAGGGATAGCTCTACTCCATGTGAATTAAGAGGGTCGGAACCTGGCTCACACTGTCACTTCTCCAATAAGGCATGATCACAGCTTCTCAAGCCCTTTTAGCGTTGCCTCTTGGGAAGCAGGAGGAACTCATTGTTTTCCTCCTATGTTGCCAGTACCCTCTGGGCTGGGAGCGTACAGCCATTGTGGAAGGGATGCTGGCCAAACTCTGCTAATTGTGAACGTATCTCACTGCTGCCTATCTTGCGGCCCATGGATCCAAATAGATCCAGGGAGTTCATTCAGGGCAATGCCAATTTAAGAGATGCTGAATCTCAGGAGAGTATTCTGGCTTGAACTCCTGAGACTTTAACCTGAGTTCATCAGAAAGAAAAATAAACTCACAGTCCTTGTAGACACACCGTTCTCCATTCTGCACAAGCCCAAACAGTCAGGGCAGGCCCCAGGCCCGTGGGACCACCGCTGACAGGAGCCTGGCTTGTCTGCGCACATGGTTTTTTTTCCTCAGGGTAAATTAATCATTGTGTGGTCTCAGATAAGGGACAGTTCTTTGGGCAGATTGGCCTAAACTCCCATATCTGGCTACCCGCCTATCTTCATTGATTTTCATCTCGTGATTACACCTGCACCATCACCCTTCCATACTGAAGGAATGATCTGTGTATGTGTTCCTGTCACTCACCACGGGACTGCCCTGCAGGTTTTCCTTTGAAATTGAGAAAACTATATATCCTGTTTGCAGCTCTTCAAATTTCCTCGGATGTTAATGCGCAAGAATCTCCAGTGCAGTGTTGTGAAAGTTAGCTCCAGACCATGATTTTCTCTACTCTAGCAAGGTGATTGGATGGCGTTTTTAAAAAATCCCAGGTGGGCTCTGACTTCGGATTTGTGCTCATGATGAGCATAGGCAAGGAGCAGTGGGCTTTGCCATCAGTCAGCACAAGGAGGAAGTGATGAGGCCAAAACTACCTCTAGGCTTCAGATTCTGCAGGAGTAATAACGGAACCCAAGCTCTCTCCTCGAACGGAAGGCTAATAAGCGGGTGTTATAATCATACCTTAAGGGTTTTTGACAAAGCTGTAGGATGGGAGGAGGAATATTTAAATCATGATAAAAATGCCCGAACAGGTCAGGTCTACATAATATGCACCCCCCCAAACCCCAAAACAAAAACCAGAAGTGAGGGAATCGGGTTGGCACTGCGAGGGCGGGTCTGCTTCTACACCCAGCTGTTGCTGGCGAAGGTCAGGCCCTTTCTGGGGTCTCTCACAGTGAGAGGCTCAGGGTTTGGCTGGCTGTTGGATGGGGTTTCGTCCGGTTTATTGCTTTCCGTGGGGGCAGCTTACTGCATGAAGGCTGCCTTCCTCGGGGAGAAGCCTGAGAGGAGAAAGTGGGACAGAGGGAGAGGAGAGAAAGGGAGAGCAAGTCGGGAGTCAGTCTCTGAAACCTACACAGAAGCAACAAGTGATAATAATCCAGCCTGTGTTTAGGGGAGGGAATTGTAAAGGCCATGGACGTGGGTAGACAAAGTTGTTATATTTTTGCAGTAGTTTTGAGTTTTAAACTTAGAGAATGCCTGTAAAAATTTAATTTACTCTTATCCCATTATTCTTACATTACTATTATTTGTGATAAAGTTAGAAAATGTTTACTCAGCAGCAGGTCACCAGTCAAGTTAACAGTGAAGGAACCATACACATGTCTATTATCACACTGATTTTCTTAATTTACTTTCAGGCCTATTTTCAACTTACTCATATAGATTCTTTTACTTTAGATCACCCAGGAAACAAAAACAGATGCTTTAACTCTGTGTAAAATCACTCAATTTCATGAATAAGGACTGTAAGGAGATGCTTAGAAAGTCATGAATATGACTAATTTTAAGTTTTAAATGATTATTGTTTATATGTGGATTTTAAATCATCTGGAACATACACCAATATTTAGTGCATTTCAGTTTTACTTATTTATAAATTTCATTGATTAAAGTTTGTGTCTCAGGCATACAGGAGTAAAAATGGTGATGTGTACTAATCAGAGAGGAGTATTTAGATTCAGGATTTTAAGCCAGAAGAAGTGGTCCTTTGCCTGGTGCTTTGAGGTCATGGATAGTTTATTTTACCCTTTATTTTTAGTGTCATGCAAGAGAATTGAAGTAAATGGCCTCCAACATATCTGTAGTTCTCATGACAGTTTGTCAAGCCCCAATCTCTTGAGAGCAACTGAAAGAAATATGCCTTCATAAAATTGTGATCAGCTACAGCTACCCCAGTAGTTTTTCATCCTTTGTAGGGGCATCTACTGATGACTGCATTCTTTAGAGCTGCGATGACATCCTTGTTTCTCAGGCTATAAATGAGAGGGTTAAGCATAGGGGTAAGGATGGCATTAAACATAAAGAGAGACTGGTTTAATTTGGGAGTCGTAGAGGAGCCCGGCCTCATGTAAACCAGTATGGCAGGGCCAAAGTAGAGGCTGACCACACAGAGGTGGGAGGAGCACGTGGCCAGAGCCTTGTTCTTGCCCTCAAGAGAGTTCATGTGGAGGACAGCATGGAAGATGAGGGTGTAGGAGGCCACAATGAGACTCAGGGGAATAAGAACCACCAGAAAGGTGGAGACCACCACCGACTTCACATACACGGAAATGTCCTCACACGTGAGCTTTAAGAGAGCCATAACCTCACACAGAAAGTGTGGGATCACTCTGGGGTGACACATGGGGAAGTGCATGGCATAGGCCGTATGAGCCAGGGACATAACTGCCCCTCCTGCCCATGACACTAGGACCATCTGTGTGCAGATGGTGTGGCTCATGATGACTGAGTACCTCAGGGGGTTACAGATGGCGATGTAGCGGTCATAGGACATGAATGTCAGCAGGAGGCACTCAGCAATTCCCAGAGTTAGACTAATGAAGATCTGGGCTCCACAGCCAACCTGTGATATGGTTCTCTTCCCTGAGAAGAAGTTTGTGACCATTTTGGGGACAGTAGTTGAGATCAAAGCAAAGTCAATGAAGGATAGCTGGCTGAGCAGGAAGTACATGGGGGAGTGGAGTCGGGAGTCCAGCCAGATGAGGAGAAGGAGGACAGCATTGGCCACGACAGCCAAAAAGTAAACCAGCAGGATAAGGCAGGTGAGTACAATGAGGTGGTGGAATTCAGGCCATAGTCCCAGGAGAATGAAGTCTGTGGTCATAGTCTCATTGTTTTGCTCCATGGCTGAAACCATTGTCCTGAAAGGACACGCAAGTGGATTGTAACATCTTCACATTAAAGAGCTTCTGCACAGCAAGGGAAACCATCCACAGTGAAGGGACGACCTACAGAATGGGAAAAACTTCCCAAGCACTTTTCTGATAGAGGACCAATATCTAAAATATGTAAAGAACTAAAATCATTAACCTCCCAAATCAAATAACCCAACCAAAAAAAGGCAAATGAGCTGAATAAACGCTTCTCAAAAGAGGTAAACACATTTACAAAATGGTCAGCATCTTTTGGCCATTAGGCAAATGCAAATCAAAACA